AATGAATATAATATACATTTTTCACAATGTTTTGCTCTTTCAAGAAAGCCACAAAAAACAGGTAATCAAATAATTCTGTAGCCGCCCATGGCATGGTCGCGTCTATACTGAGCATGCTCACATCTGTGGTTCAAGCCAACCTTCTAGGTCTTTGAGTTCTGTGATCTGTCCCCAGTCAACAAAGTCATTGCAAATCTGCATACTGTAGGTACTATATTTTCATGGATTTTCCACTTTTCCAGTCCTAAATATGCAACACACAAAAATGCAGGTAGATGAAATTTAAAAAATAAATAGGATGAGGTTAAACCATGATTATTAAAAATATTTTTTAACTTACCAATATTATGTTCTGCAGAAATATTTGATTTTCCACTTTTCTAGTCTCAAATATGCAACACACAAAAATGCAGGTAGATGAAATCTAATAAATAAATAGGATGAGGTAAAACCATAATAATTGAAAATATCTTCTAACTTACCAATATTATGTTCTGCAGAAATATTTGATCAAATGAAAATAGTACCACATGAGAAAATACACAGCAACCACAGAAAACTACTATTTCTGACACAAAGTAGAAATTATTTAAAGCCTCGGATTTTGCCTAAACATGGTGGATTTTTCATTTCAGTAATTTCTATGGACAGAGAAGATGACATATCCACATGATTATGATTATTATCAAAAATATTTTCTAATTTACCAATATTATGTTCTGCAGAAATATTTGATCAAATGGAAAATAATACTGCATGAGAAAAAACAAGGCAACCACAGAAAAACTACTATTTCCGACAAAAAGTAGTAATCATTCAAAGCCTTGGATTTTGCCTAGACCTGGTGGATTTCTAATTTCAGCAATTACTATGGACAGAGAAGATGACATAACCTTATGATTATGATGATTATCAACAGTAATTACACAAGTGGTGGTAATTTTTTGATAGTTTCAACTAGATGCACGAATCTTTGTTGCTATAGAAATTTCACGAGTGGACGAAGTCCACGAGTGGGATTTCTCAATAGCAACAAAGACGAGTGCTAAATCTAGTTAAAATTATTTAAAAAAATAACCAACACGAATGTAATTCGGCGTGATTATTTTTTTTACTATTTCGCAAAATGCCCCAGAATATGTTTATTAAACAATTATTTATTGAACAATCATTTATCATACAATTATATATCAAACAATTATATATCAAACAATTATATATCAAACAATTATATATCAAATAATTATATATCAAACAATCAAGAATGTTTACAATTTACGTTTGTAATGGTGCAATTATTGTATGTTATTGTACAATTTCCTTGAGATGAAGAGGTCGAAACAGTGTTTCCTCTCAAGTTGTTTATCATGCTTGCGTGATGCTCTTTGTCAAGTTGAAGATAGGGTTTGATGGAGCTTGCAGATGAATGTCCAGTTATCTTCAACAACTGCTGCTCACTTACTCCACTTTTAGCGAGTTGTGTCACAGCAGAAGAACGATGTGAATGGTTTGTAACCTTGATTTTGCTAGGATCCAAGCCAATCTTTCGGGCCGCTTGTTTTGTCCATTTTGCTATTTCATTTTGTCCTACCGGAAGATTTTTGTACCACCCCTTAGACAAAGGTTGCTGCCAATTTGGATTAGGTGTTAAAAATAAACGATCAATTTGAATATTTGCACTTCTTTTCGACATTAACTTCCGAAAGAGACGTACTGGACATTTTTCAGTCTCATTTTCATTTGGCGTTAAAAATTTGCTATCAGATAACCTGTGCGATCCTCCTTGTGCTGTTTTAGAAATTATTGGATTATATTCTATCCTTCCAGTTTGATTTCCATAATGATCCATTTCTTCTCTAAAATACTGTACTAATGCTTTTGTCGCTTCTCCGCCTCTCCAAGCCAATTCGTAGCTAGCAGTATGATAAAACTTCCTTTGTAAGCCATTTGGAGTATTTTCGTCCCATGCTGCTATCATTTTTTCTATTTCTTCTTTCTTGAGAGCAACAGAAGATGCTTTTCTTTTTTCAGGAATATGTTGAAGTTCTCGACGTTTGCAATTCCGCGCATCTCGCGCGGTCTTAAATTCAATATCAGTGAACGGATCAATGTTTCTATTATACTCCCTGAAATATTTTTCCTGGATAAGTTTTGCGGTGACATTCCACAAAGTTTTGACAACAGATTCTTTGTAGTTTTCTCCATTTTTTTTTCGCATGTTATATGCCCAGTCCTCCATAATTGATGCGATTTGTTTCATCTCGGTTGTTGCAGTCAACTCATAATTACGTTCAAGGCAGAACTCCAAAAACTGTTTCCATATCGTATTCTTGCTTTTTGTGGTGTTGATTGGTGTTGCTTGTTCGACAGCTAAATGTATTGAATCAGCCGAGCTTTGACCAAATCTCGTGCTCATGTCGGTTTCTGTTAATGACTAATAATAATTGTAAAGTTTTTCCGAACCTATACCAACTCGTTTAAACGTTAGAGAAAATCACAAAATACGAAGTCTGACTGATACTTAACAATGGCGTCGGTTCTGAATTCGAAATGTTTACATTGAGACAAATAGCTGCGTTACCTTGACAACCAAGTCAAGTCAATGCTAATTCTCTAAAGGTGCCCCATAGACTGCGTTGTTGGTAGGCCGTTTTGTTCGTCGAACAAGTCTGTTCGAACAAAAAAGACACAAAACTAAAGTGTGTGGCCAGCGAAAACGAACATTTTACAGCCACACACTTCGGTTGTGCGCAATTTTTGTTCGAACAGACTTGTTAGTCGAACAAAACAGCCTATCAACATCGCAGTCTATGGGTCCCTTTTTGTATCCATTTGAAGGAAGATCCAAACGTGAATAAGTCATCGCGGTAATTTGATACTAACAAATTATCAGTATGATTCCGAATGATTGGCTAGAATCACGCATTGATATTGGTTGAAACAAGGAAAACGTCACATTTTGACATGTAAAAAAAATAATCAAAAATATTTTCTAATTTACCAATAATATGTTCTGCAGAAATATTTGATCAAATGGAAAATGATACTGCTTAACTGCATGAGAAAAAAACAGTGAAACCACAGAAAATCACAACTATTTCCAACACAAAGTTCAAATCATTCAAAAATGACATGCCATTGTCATCACTGTGTTAAATGCAGTCACTTTACCCAAAATATTGTAACGCCATCTATGTCCAAGTTGGTGACATTGTCAGTATGTTGATGATTGTGGGTGGAAAGCTTGAATATATTTGTGCCAACATAATATCTTCATATTCTTTATCAAGGTTAGTCAGCTCTGAGAATTCAACCAGTGTGTTTCATTATAATAGTTTGTGTTATTACTGGAGTTATTACCTACCTAGGCTAAATTTCATCAGCACAATGGATTTTAAAATCTGTGTGTGTTGATTATTAATCAACCTTATTTAATGAAACAATAGATATTTACTCCAATATTTAGGTTCTTTCAGTTATACACCATAATGTACATAGTAATATTGATCACTCATTTTGGTTAAAGTATACAATAGGTCAATAGGTATATTGGCTCTCAATAATCCAATCATGGATTTCCTTCTTAACCCTTTTATATGGTCACCTTCTTAATCAGTTAGGTAGTACATATGAAATACCCTAGTGCCAATGAAACTAATATGTCTCTTAGCTGATACATGTCTCATAGAACTCAAGCCTAAGTTATTATTTATTGCACTTCTAGTATACAATTTATGTCCCATTTTAAATTTGTAGTCCTAATTGATTAACATGGATCTTATAATATTTTTGACATGTAATTGGTCATTATCAAATAGTTTGCTTTAGTGAAAAAGTAGATTTTTAGAGTATGTTTTATTTTTGAACTTCATTCTTTCAATGACATATTTTTGAGCCAAGGTAAGGCCTCCAGACAATAGTTCTGCATTCACTTCCCCACAAAATGATGTCATAATCTAATATTGATTCTACCAAGGAGTAGTAAACCATTTTACATACATTATGAGTTTGAATATTTTTCAGTGGATAAAACTTGTAAATTACCTTCCTTATTTTCTTTGTGGTATATTCTATGTTTTTCCCAATCTAACTTTTCATATATATAAATGCCTAAATACTTTATATTCTGTACCCTTTCTATTTCACAACAGTCACAGTTTCCTGTTCTTTCAGTATTAGTACAATCTGATTTGTGAACCTTTATGATTTTGCATTCTGCTAAGGCTTTCTTGGTTAGTAGTAAACTTTAAGATTTGTTAACATATAGTGACCACATAAACATCTTGCTAAAATCAAGATAACATCCTATATCTCAGTTATGAGACATTATAGACATCAAAGAAGGGTGATTTGGAACCCTCAATGTATTCTCTAAGAGATCCTCTATCAATAGTTATCATATGTATAATTAAATCTGAAAAACCTTGTACCAAGCCCTGTACATTACCTAATAATTTTATTATGATGTTCAAAACTTATTAAAAACATTGCCATGTATATACAAATGTGATATTTCCAAGTTTTATTGTATACAGTATGATGCAAATGTATGGAATAAATTCATCATTTCAGAAATGGGCTACATTTGAAGAAATTCCAAAAACACATGAGTTCTAATTTTTGAAACCTCTCATGACATTCATATGAGAGATGTTACGTCACCGGTGTTGGAGTAATGACGTAATGGATGGTTTTTTTAAATACAAACAGGGGTCATATGACACCTCATTTGAAAGGTCTACTGATCGTCTATCCAAGTCAAAATTTTGCAAAAGAAGATTGAAATTAAAATGGATTATCATTTGGTTAACTGAATCTTGCAGAGATCTTCTACATTTGGTTAACTGAATCTTGCAGAGATCTTCTACTGAGAATTGAAAGGGTCATCTAGTTGAAAAAAAGTTCTGAACTCTACTTTTTGGATTTTTTTCGGAAGTTGTCTTGTTTTGAAATGAATTTATTCCATACATTTGCATCATACTGTATATTATACAACTCACCAATAGGAACATCTTTGGTACCAGCAGCAATTAGAATTTTTGCTAAATATCCCTCTTCTGGAGTTTCAAACCCCATTGTTGCTTTATCTGTCTCTATTTCAGCAAGGAGGTCACCTTCATTCAATTTGTCACCTTCTTTTTTCTCCCAACTGATTATTGTACCCAATTCCATAGTAGGAGAAAGAGCAGGTAGAGAAACTCTGGTATGAGATGGTAGATTGCTTGAGTAATGTCTTGATAGAGGCTCTTCTATGACACCCCATCTTCCAAGTAGTTCCTGAGTCCCTCCATAAAGAGATGACCTATGTGAAGTTGAATATTTTCTGCATAATTAAGCATACATATGCTCATATAAAAATATAATTTAATGTCCAGTTTGAATAATTATTATAATATATTAACCAATTTTTAATTTCAATTTGGTGAAAATAAAATGAAATGAATTAATTACATGTTAGTATAATATATGATAATATGTTTGTTTTAATATGTTCTTGAATTAAATCAAGTCATGTTGCATGAATTCAACTGATTCATATATCATGCATACCTATACAAATCTATAGGTATGTCTCTGGAGAAGGAATTTCTGAGAGAATTTTCAACTATCATGAAACATGATGAAAATAATTAGGCTTTGTAGGTATGAAGTGGTATGAAGGCTGTTATATAACATTTGAAAAATATGCAAGCACCTTGAGTGATAATAATTCTCACCTGTGGCAATGGTTTTTCTTGGCACATTCTACTGATAAAGTCCTTATAATTTTAGCATGAATATTTCTTCTCAAGATTTTCTTAGCAACATCGCTTCGTATGACTAAAGTTCGAAACATTTCCTGTGATATTATAACTGAGGATTTTGAGAAATGATATTAATTCTTACAAAATATAAGAGGGCAATTCACTAAGACCAAAACACACTTCTCTAGGTCATTTAAAAGACACGGCGAGGGGCTCCACAAAATTCACTATGGAAATCCTAAAAATTCCTGCTAAGTGTGTGACCTCCAGAATTTGTCGTTGTCAGATGTCCGTTGTGTCAGATGTCTGTCGTGTCAGTGTCAGAAAATAAGGTGTCAGACCAATGTGTTTGTTTTCGATTTTGAGTTTTGACCTAAGATTTTGACATTGACCTCACGTTTTTAGTAGAGTGACTATATTGACGCCAACTGGTGAAATTGAAAATGTTACAAATGTTTCTCGCCAGTCATGAAACTAGTAGCATGCTGCTGTACTGCTTCTTGTGATTAGAGTCCCTGTATATACCTTAGATAAGAGTCCCTGTATATACCTTAGATAAGAGTCCGGACACAAAACTGACTGCCGTTGGGGTTTTTAATATTTTGTTCATTTGGTTTGCCCACCTGACAAAACAACCTAGTATAATATCAATATTATACCCAGGGACCAAGATATCCCGAGGCTTCAGCCGCCGGGGGGTATAAATTGGGTATAAAGTTCCCGTCCTGTGGTAATATTATTCTACAATACTTAAATTTTTTTCACCACTAGCAATATATTTCAATCATTTTATTCGTGTGATATTGAAATATGAACCTATTATCACTATGAAAGCACCTCTTTTCAATTGACAGTCTAGTGCGATTCCTGCTAATTTCGCATGAAAACAGTGAATTCGGGTTTATTATAATATCATAATTATATCAGCGGTTGTGTCTTTACGGCTTTAATAGTGATTCAAAAAATGAAAAAGACTACCTTGGTTGTAGAAACTCACTTTACGCCTTGAATAGGAGTAAATATCACTCATAACCTTCTAATGAACCTTAAGATATTTTCCGCAGCCAGCAGCATGCTACTTTGCTATTATTCGCATGACTGGCCACTGGCGAGAAACATTTGTGAAATGTTAGCCCTTCAACCGCTCGGTCGGCGGCAGCCAGCAGCGGCGCGCTTGAGATTACTTGGCAACACTTGAGCAACAGGTGTTTTGTGAATCTTGTACAGTTGTGCACTAGATCATAGAGCTTGTGCACTAGCGTTGCCTGAGCTACTCCGATTGGAGTAGATCTACTACTTTTATTCGTATTAATCATTCCAGAATTACGTCATTTGACAGGTTGCAAACATTCTATTTTGTCAAGATCTGTCAATAAAACCAGAATTAGTGGGATCGTTTTCCTTGGAATCCGAGTTAGAACCAGAAAGAATTTCATAATTTTGTTTGGTGAAACTGTTATAATATTGTGGATGTGGCTGGGACAGCCAGGGCAATGCTCATCAAAGGTAACCTAACAGATAGTTTGTGTGCCCCTCAAGAAACCATGTCAAAATCACGTGTTCTAGAATGATCAATTCTACTCCGCTACTCCAAATTACTGATTTCTACTCCGATCGGACGTAGGGGTGAGTCACGAACAGTGCCATATTACACTCAGTGCAGATACTATAAGATTCTGTCTAAACTTCTCTAGACAACACAGAGGAGTTATCTCTGGCTTAACCTAAATCTAATTATTCTCTTATTTTTTTGGACGGGACGTATGGGGTTGGTTTGGGGTGAAGGCACGGTGGATAATGGCTGACTCAGCTGGGCGATCGGAGTCAAGTGTCAAGCGTCATTATTGTACTAATTATAGTTTGTACTTTAACCAGTTTGTAGTAGTAAGGGAAGGGAAGTTGTCTTGAAGTCAAATCATGGATGAATTTTTCATGTTCATGAACTTTTCCATCTTTATTCAATCATGGACAAGGGGGTCTTTTTTCCTAGTTTTTAGACTTATGTTTTATGTGAGATGAATACAATGACTCAATAAATCATGTTTTTCATGATGTTCTAACAGCATTCTCAATTTCTCACATAACTACATTCATATTTTGCCCAACCTAATAACATCATCACTGTATATATAATACTAATGAATTTACTTCATGATCAAATGCTATAATTTTTGCGGGTACGCGGGTAAGAGACTCCTTCTGGTTTCGGTTTCGAAACTACATTCGCTCACAATGACATTGACAGCTGAATAGGGAGATGAAAGATCCTTGATCAGTACTACACTCCACTGTAGTCAGAATCTAATCCACTTATAATCCCAAATCTACTACTATTTTTCGGCATGCTGTGGCAACACTGTAATGTATGTGCACTTGTGTTTTCTTTTCATTTTCATCTTCTCACGTTTTGTTTTGTTGTCTTTTCTGTTGTTTTGTCAAGTTTTGTTTTGTTTTCTTTCAATTTTTTATTTTTTAACCTCCTCGATCTCCATCATTGTGATGTGATTTGTGTGATTGTGTGTGGTCTGTTTGTGTGTGGTCTACTCTACTGGTCTACGTCGATACCTTTACGTCGATGATTCAGAATGCATAACATTCTAGTTTCAGGATACATCCTGCAAAATGATAATGATGCATGATAATAATGTAATTTATTGAAGAAGTGGAAAAGTGTGAATTGGTCCATTCCAAAAGTATAATCCCAATGAAATGAAGACTGGTTTAATTTTGGCAATTCATTTGCAGTTAACTTTATGTGGTGTGATAGTTAAAAGGTACTCTGATAGTATACAAGAATACAATCATGTATCAAGAACCGAAGTCACCCCCTACATTAGGCATCGTGAACAAGATCAACCAAAAGACATCAATACAAGATATATTGATCAGCTATTTGATAAGAATCTACGATATTGCCAAAGACCTGCAACATGCCAACCATTGAACCACACTACCTGTATGGGAGCTAAGTTACCATATCATAGTACAACTTTAAACTTAACAGATTTGACAAGTCAGGAAAAAGTACAAGAAAAATTACAGCTATACAATTATCTTCGCTTTATTCCCAAGTGTTGGGCTGTGATTCAACCTTTTCTTTGTGCCTTATATATGCCAAAATGTGAAAAAAATATGGTAGATTTACCATCAAGAGAAATGTGTAAAATCACTCTAGAGCCGTGTAAGATATTGTACAATAGTTCAGTGTTTCCAGAATTCTTGAATTGTGAAGATGAGCGTCTGTTTCCTACAAGATGCAAAAATGATATTCAAGAAGTTAAATTCAACACCACTGGATTCTGTATGGACCCTTTGGTCAAGACTGATAAACCAGAGTGGTGGTTTCCAGATGTAGAAGGATGTGGTTTGAAATGCAAAGATTCTCTTTACACTGAAACAGAGCATGATCAGATACATAAATTCATTGCAGTTTGTGCATCCATTTGTCTCATTTTGAATACTATTACTGTGATGACTTTCATCATTGATTGGAAGACATCCAATAAATATCCAGCCTCAGCTATATTTTATGTGAATGTATGCTTTTGCATATCTTATGGTGGGTGGTTAATACAATTTTTGGGCAATGATACCAGAGAAGACATTGTTTGCAAGAAGGAAGGAACACTGAGGAAATCTGAACCAAGTGCAACTGAAAATTTATCTTGTCCTGTAGTATTTTTTATGGTTTATTATTTCATGATTGCTGGGCTGGTTTGGTTTGTTATTTTCAGCTATGCTTGGTACATGAGTTCACTTCAAGCTTTAGGTAAGCAATTTTCTATTTCAAAGGTAATCTATTATTGGCTATTTTACAATTCAACACATCATTGGGGAAAACTGGCAACACAAAATCAGAATTTTTACAGAAATTAAAAAAATTCTGGTTTAGCGCTGAAATCTCATTATCAATCCAATTATTCATCAGAGAAACAAAATAAATATCTACTATGTCATTTTACTTAGTTGAAAAAATTAATAAGTATCATTTAATTGATTCTCAGACAAAAAGTTTATTCAGTGAGGACTGAGAACAGAGATATTCTTCAAATTCATTCATTATTAAAATTTGGTACATACCTCGGTACATACCTACATAATGTCATCTCATTAACCTTATTTATTAGGATAGTCTGAAAACTGACTTGATAAAAAACATTCTAGAAATATTTGACCTTGAATAAAAACTTGCATTAGCATATTTCAAAATTTTCAAACAAACAATTATAAGTATCAAGAACCCTGTGTTTTGGGGGATCTCTTTGCACTAGTTCTGCAAAATCCCCAAGAAAATCCCATTGTCACACAAAATAATGCCTATACTAACTGGTTATATACAGGGTGTCCCATAAACATACCTACAAACTTTAAGGAATGGTAGAGGCCATCAAAATAAACATTTTTGCTCGATAAACATAAGTCCAGAAACTCTTTGTTTTCGAGATACAGAGAGTTAAATTTTAAAAAAATCGATTTTTTATTGATATTGTTACGTTATTCGGGTGCAGAAGCGAACACGACACTATTTATTTTCGAACTGATTTATTTGAACTATAGAAACACTAATTTATAACGAACTTAGAACTACTATTTATGTAAAACGATTTATATCACCCGGTATATAACTGTCTTTCTGACACTCGCTGCTCGACTCCCCGACGGCAGTTATTCGGCCGTTTATATATGAGATAACTAGACAGGCTTTGGTTCTAGAACCTTCTCGAATGATCTTCCGTCTCCTTCTTTTTGTTCTAGAAGCTTCTTAGAACAAACCTCTCTCTCTAATTGTTCCATCGATTGTTTCCAGAACATTCCAGAATCTTCTGTGACGTTATCTGTCACCGCGGCATATATTGAGTGTTCGGAAATATGCTAGTGCATTGGGAGGTAGGAGAGCAATCTGGTATGCGTGATACAGGATGATCGTTGTACTCCTGCCTTCCTGCTGATGTTTCTAAAGCCCGTCCAAGGGGAATATCATTACAATATCATAAAAATGATTCAGTCAATTCAATTAAATTTTCACAGATTATTGATACATTTATAAGGTATCTTTTGGAGCTATCAGAATTTGCCCAATAATTTCAGGGTCGTGCCCACGGGCTTTGCACAAAAAAAATATCACACAGTAGATTTTTTGTAATTATGATAATTTTTTTTAATGAACAACTAAAAATGCACCTTTTTTGTCACTTGAAATTTTTCCGTATCTACCTTCGTTTTGAAGAAAAAAAAACATCTCTTACATCTATGAAAAAAAAATTAAATGCTTCAAAATTATATCTTACATTTTACCAATGCGTTTATTGGAATATTGAAAAACCAATAAAACTCCCAATAACTTTTGTTTACTAATCATCAATTATTATTAATGACTTTTAATCATTTTTTGTTTTGTCTGTATGTTTGTTTGTCTAGCAAGAATGTTCATTCTGATGTCCTCTACCATCCCTTAAAGTTTCATTCTGATGTCCTCTACCATCCCTTAAGTTTGTCGGTATGTTTATGGGACACCCTGTATATATCTTGGTTAATATCTATTTTCACATTTTTTTTCTGAAAAAATATGTGAACTGATTTTCATATTGTATTATAGTGATTGTTACATCTAGGTATAACTAATGAATACCTACTCATATACATTATGATGATTGACCTATTGAATATTGAATTAACTAAAAGTGTACATTTTTCAAAAACTGTGTAGTGACTTCTAAAAAAAAGACTTCCCTACAATGGTCCTCTGTTCAAATAAGAGTAGGTACATACCTATGAAGCAAGATTTCTGTAATCAAAATTATAATAGGACATTTAAGTTTAGTTATCAGCAATAATCCAGGCAAAAATTTCAATGATCTATGAAATTCATGTGTTTCAATTGTCACTTTTCTCACCAATTTATGATGTAAATATTTATTCATGGTTGTTGACGGATCAAAGTGGGCAATTTTTGTACTCATCAACATGTCTTAATCAGGGTTGGGCTGATTTAAATCAATTGATTTAAATCAAGATAAAAAGCATGGTTTAAATCAAGTGATCTTTTTTTTTAAATCACAATTTAAATCAAAATAATAATTTCGAGAACATTTATTATTTATTTGAATAATAAAAAATATTAAACTGAAATAAAATAGTAAAACCCCTAAAAAAACTGGATATTGAAACATATACATATACAGGCTACAGTCGGTCGACCCACATCGTCCTACTGAGAATGGCTTTCTTTGTGAATTATATTTTGTTTTAATTTTATAATACTCAAATTCATGAAATACACAAAATTAAAATAGTACCTATATTTATCGCGCATTAAGACCAAAATCAAAAAAATCCAAAAAATCATGATTTTTTCATTTAAATCAATGATTTTTGATTTTTTTTTTTTAAATCAAGATTTGCCCAACCCTGGTCTTAATTTGATTAGTTTTCCAGATACAGAGTGTTGAAATGAGACTAAAAGTATTTTCCTCTACTGAAGAATCGCTCAATGAAGATTCAAAATATTATGGAAAATCATGGATTATCTAGAGAACAATTAATTTTTAGTGAGAGTCAGCTGATGCAATTTCCTATGGTGCCGTTTAGGGATTATCATTGCTCAAAAGAACTTCTGGCTATTGAAATTTCCACAATATTATGGGAAAATGTGAGAAAACATCAAATTTTCTAGGAAAAAAGTTATTTTTAATATCATTCAAATGCTCTGATTTCCAGAGAAAATTATGAAACTGATTCAAACTCATCTTTCAATCTAGGTGCACTGTAAGACACCCATTGATATTACATGATAACAAAAATTAATTTCGAAATTTATAGAACTTATCAGTCACTGGTCAGACTGAATTCTTGTCATTCTGAATGTTCATACTGTTTGATTATGAGAAAATTAATTGTTACTTCTAACTTCAACATCCTGTATCTCAAAAATGTAGCAACTTAGGACACATGTTTATATGAACTTTAGGTCTTGAAATGAGCTCGGAAATGAGTCAAGGAGTCACCGCCTGTAATATGTACACTGTGTATACCCAGAATGCTCATTTTGACTTATGTGATTTCTTGTATCTTCAGAAACCACAATGGGCCTTTCCAGTATCAGAAAATGTTACCCTTTTTCACTATAATATTATGAAGGGAAGATAAAAACGTCATCCTGACCACATAATTATTCAGAAAATCGAAGGACAAATGAAATGTTTAATATTAGAAATGCTATTTCAATGCCTGTTAATTCCAACTCTACTGAGCTGTGATGTCAGTGTCTTCTTGCAATTTGATTGGTTGGAGTTCTGACAAATGCAATCACTCCGCTGTTGCCAGATCTCTATAAAATCCTTGAATTGATCATGTGTGCAAGATGGTACAAGGAATGCAACTATTCGAAATTACTATGTAGTAGGTGATTAGTTGATTGGTAGGCAATTCACTGCTGATTGCACACTATTTACTCTGAACTCCAAAGTATTTCATCAGTTTCAAGATTAGCTAGGATAAAATGTAATGCAGGCATCTAACAGTAAGACGCTTTTTATATTCTTAGTTTGGTTTTAGTTATGTTGAAATTTCGTTGACTAATTGTTATAATCAAGAAATTGAACAGTGTTACTATATCTCAAGCACCCTTTCCCGGAAAAAGTAATTGCTAATCTGGCAACTATGTCTACAAGAGCAAGAGATGAAGCAACTGGCACTTACACAATGTTGCCAAGTCAAAAATAACTCATTTCCCGCATAACTTCACTGTTCTTATTTCTCAATATTATTGACAAGAAGGCAGTGATGCTTGTACTAAAATCAATTAAAATACAACCAAGCAGTTTAGTATTGCCTGATTCAGAATCTTGTTTCTTTCCCTATGGGAAATAGGTCTAGGTAGGTATATGAAATTACTTCACTTGAAGTGTTTTGAAACTGAATGTCATGAATATCTGCACTATAATTCAATACAAAATCAAATTACACTTACAATTTTGAATAATCTTTCAACAAAAATCAACCAACTGGCTAATCATGCAATGCAGATCTTTAATACCATGAGTTTTCAGGTGAGTAGTTGTTAGTCGAGTTATCTAACAGGATCTGTATTATTTGCTAAAATGAAAAAATTGAGGAATGAATATCCGACTAATCACAGCTTCCTGTCTGAATTGGCAACGTTGTCAAGTCCAATGTGCATTTTATCGGCACCCGCAAGACGGCTGGAAATCACCAATCTAAATTGCTCGCGCTCTGACGTCACACTTCGCGGCCATGTCTGATCGTTTGAATTCGCTCATTGATTTTGGCGTTTTCAATAATTTTTTATATGGTAAAGAAGAAAAAAAATCAAAAAATCATTTCAAGGTATTCCAGAGCCATATATTTCAAGAAATATTGTTTGTAGAAATGACTGGAAAGGCCCATTATTTCGTACAATTATTTTTACTTTAATCCTTTGACATACTATGGTATTATGTATATCATTGGACTACTGGCCAACATAATCCAGAAATTTTATGAATTCTTATAGAATACTTACCTTTGATGAAATCTTGAAATGATAATTCTTCACATTGTTAATGATAAAATTCGACCAGTAGTTTATACCAGGTGACACTGACTCATGGTATATCCCCCTTTTCTCCTTTGTTTTTCTAGCTATATTTCTAAAATTTGGAACATCGAATATGCTCACTAGAGGGCACTTTCTCACCTAGGAATTTCTTGTCATCTTCTACTTTTCCTGGAAATGACATCAACTTTTGATTTTCAAATGGAACACCCTGT